CCACTCAAAAGCAAACAAAGAGAGCAAAATTATATGATGGCTTTTTCATTTGAGAGCTCTTGGACTCTGGGGCCCTCAAGTAAGAAGGCTAGGAAGTGATAGCTGGCTCCTTGCGTTGTAAATTGAACACAAGGCACCATTAACCCTCTGCAAACAAAATGTACAGTCTGTAAAAACCACAGAGCATTGGGAGAACGGGAAAGAAAGAGCTGAATGAGCCAGCCTGTCTTCCAGTGCCACATAACGTCACTCGGGATATGTGTAATGGGCAATTACAAACATGCCGCTGGCCCACACAGCTACTCAGGCTAGGGCAGTGGTCACCAAGCAGGAGATCGGGATCTACTGGCAGATCTTGGAGCCTGACAGGGGATCCCGACTGGTTTGGCTGGGAGGCTATCAGGTGCTGGCAATTCAGCTGCCCCTCCCTCTTCTTCCCTCTTCTCCCACACCGTGCTGCTCCTGCCCTTTGCCTTGCCTCGGGTGGGGGGGGGGGGTGCTGATGTCACTCTGCCCCCCGCCCCTGCACCCCATCTTCACAGAGCGAGGAGGGTGGGTCCTCGAAGAAGGGGTGGGGAAGGGGTGTTCGTGTCTGAGGTAGATCCTGGACTGAAATTCACAAAGCCATCTTGTGCTTAAAACGGTTGGAGACCACTCGGCTAAGGGCCTGATCAATTGCCGTGTAGATGTTTGTACTTGGGCTGCAGCCTGGGCTCCAGGATCGTGCATCCCTGAGCTCAGACTGCAGCCCCACCCCAGTATTTACACCACAGCTAGAGAGCCCCGTCGCCTGAGCCCCGCCAGCCCAAGGCAGCTGGTAGAGCCTGCTACCGATGTTTTACTGCAGCACAAACATACCCATGGGCTATGCCTGCATTTAAAATATTACAGCAGTGCTATGCTTCATTCTTAATGGGCGAGGCTGAAGCAAGATGAACAGCTGATCCTGGTGAAAAGCACTTCAAAGCAGTGGGGACTTCGTTACTTTTCACAGGTTTAAATGGTGGAATTATTTAAAAACCTGACATAATTCCCTTCTGAGTAACAGCCCCCTTCCCAATGGTCACATGCTGCTTGACAGTGCACCTTACCTGAGGGCATTTCCCTGCCTGTCCCTTGAGCCACCTTACGATGCAAGTGTATCCAAATAGGTGTCCACAGCGCAGTGCTGACAGCCGGTGCTCCCCAGCATTAGTCCACTGCTCAAAGCAGATGGCACAGGTGTCCCCTTCTTCCTCATCCAACAGCGCAGTGGGAACTGTCGTATCAAGGTTCTTTACTGGAGTTTTCTGAAACAACAGCAACGCTCAGGCAAATGCAGTATGTGTCATCTTTGCTCTCTGCCCCAGGACTGCTGGTTCACTTTACCTGTTGGGGCTGGACTTCAGTTTCTTCAGTGGCATGACCTTCATGCTCTGCAGAGGAAGGCAAAAGTTGAGGGGCCTCTGGTTGGACCTGATCAGAAACTTCAGAGCAGACAGGAGAAAAAGAAAGTAATTGATTTGAACAGGTACCAGGGTTTTCTTCCTTAGATTCTGGACTGAATTGTCTTTTGTAGCTTTTGTATTCTAGGATGTCAGAACAAGCTCTGATGCAGTAACTAGTGTGGATTGCAAGCAAAGGCTTTACTCAACATACTAGAAATATAAATGATATCATGTACTGAAGTAAAAAAAACTCATTAGCATAATCAGCAACGTGATTTTGTAACATTTTCATAAAAATCCAGCCCTCTGTACTGAAGCAGGACCAAATAATCCTAGCCTAGACCATCCCTGAAAGGTGTTTGTCCAGCCTGTTCTTAAACCTCCAATCATGGGGATTCCATAACCAACAACGGAAGCCTATTCCAAAACTGAGCTACCTTTAGAGTTGGAAAGTTTCTCTTAATACCTAACCTACATTTCCCTTGCTACAGATGAAGCCCATTACTTGTTGTCCTACTTTCAGTGGACACGGAGAGCAATGCAGTTAACTTATCTAAGGACAGGTCAGGTCTCCCCAGCAGTCTTTTCTCAAGTCTGAACATGCCCCAATTTTTAAACCTACTTAAACCCTGACCAGGTTTTCTAAACTTGTCATCATTTTTCTTGCTCTCTTCTGGACTCTCTTCAATTTACCCACATATTTCCTAAAGCGTGGCACCTAGAACTGGAAACTGTACTCCAGGTGAGGCCTCAGACTTGTGTAGAGTAGAACCATTTCATTCCTGCATCTTCCCTACCCTCCAGAATATTAACCTTTCCACAATTACAACACACTGACTTGTTCAATTTGTGATCCACGATAGGCCCCAAATCCTTTTCGGCAGTATTTCCACATCGTCAGTTATTCCCTATTTTGTAGTTGTGGGTTTTATTTTTATTTCGAAGTATAATACTTTGTATTGTTTTTCTTGAATTTAATTTTGCTGATTTCAAACTACTTCTCTAATTTGTCATGGCCACTTTGAATTCTAATCTTGTCCTCCCAAAGGCTTGAATCAGGATCAACTATTTTCTGTCAATCTTTTGAAACACACACAAAATATATTGACTGAGCACTGTATCACTGAGTTTTCTCTTACTTTTATAACAAACATTAGGGGTTCATGAACATTTTTACTTTGAATAAGAAACATCAACTTGAAAAGGCTGAGAAACACTGAGTGATCCTCTAGCTAAGTGAGTAGCTATTCCCAACACAGCTAAGCATAAAGGGAAGTTACATGAAGCAAGGAACCACCATTTGAAGAACATGAAATCCTCAGCAATAAAAAAAATCCCAGGCCATATCCTCCACCGTATGTTGGCTTAGCTGGTTTATACTGATTTACAATAAGTGAGGCCTTCTGGTTTGGAGGCTATCCTTCATAATAAAGTTTGGGTGAGGAAAGTGAACTACAGAAAGGCAAAACCAGACGAAACTCTAAATTAGTTATATTGAAGATTTCCAGGAGGCATCAGTGGATATGTAAACAGCTAAATAAAGTCTTGCTCAGGAAGGATTATGTTACTATTCCCCCGCTGCATTACGGCAGCAAACCATCCTTATCATCTATGAGCATACCGATCGTAGACCTTTGACCAGCTCTGCTGTAAAGCTTGAAAAGATTCTCTATAAAGCAGTGTCCTCTCTGAGGCTGCAAATGCAAGGAGAGGAATTTCTGGCATTTCAGAGCTCCCAGTGATGTGAAACCAGCACAAACCTTCCAAACTGTCAGCTCTTGGCACCTCTTCCTGGGCTACCACTGCATCTTCCTCCTCAGTGGAGCTGCTACTATCCGAGCTGCTCAACTCCAAGGTCTCATCGGAGCTGTGACCACTATTGCCAACTGGAAGATGCAAAGTCTCCAGTGGTGGAACTGCTGCCGCTGTTGGCCCTTGGGTCCTGCTGACCCTGAAGTAACTATCCAGTTGTACCCTGGGTCTGAAAAGCAAGGAGTAAAAGTGACAGTGTTTTGTCAGATTCATTATTGCTGGGACTATAAATAGTTAGTAGAAAATTAAATCCTTGTTTGTTTCCCACAAACCCTAGCCTTGGTTTACAGGTACATCCAAAAAGATCAAAAAATGCCTCACTCAGAGGAGGACCAATCCCCAGGTAATGCAGTTAGTAGAATTAACAATTCTAAGAAGCATATGCAACATCCAGCTGTGACAGTGCTTTACTACATAGGTCTAGAAAATGCCTCTCACAAAAAACCCTGCTTTTTCTTTAATCATCTTTGGTAGATATTTTTGTCATGTCACAATCTTGCAAATGAATTTACAATAATGATCAGATAGAAAAATGCTTATGCTATTTTACTTGCCAATCAAAAAAAAATTCAAGTCAAAATTTGCAAGACTGCTTAATGGCACAATGAGGCATATGCAGAAGTGAATTTCATCTGCAGGTGAATTAAGGGCAAACTGTATGGCTGTGTTTAGTGTCTTGGGGTGAGATCCTGGCCCCACTGAAATCAATGGCCAAACCTCCATTGACTTGAACAGAGCCAGGATCTAACCCACACTATATAGCATGGAGCAGCAAAGACAATATGTAAAGAGTTCAACGTGAAAGTCTCTGTTGATGGCCGCCCCCCTCTCCAAAGGTTCAGGTGGCACTCAAAATAGAATTAAGATTTAATCTAGGGGTCTCAAACGCCCTGCTCTGGCTCCATCTGCAGCCCGAGAATGTCCCCAATCTAGCCCAAAAATATTTGGAAAATGTTATTTAATCAGGCCTGTGCAGCTGCTGGATGCGCGGGGGGTGGGGTGGGAAGAGAGCTAACAGGGCCTCACCCTCACAGAGTTTTTTTGCTCACAAGCCTTCCTGTTTGCTGAGGGGACACCAAATACTGAGGAAAACTGCAGTTTACACACATGAAGCTAGGTCTCTAAACATTTCTGTAATGCTTATCACCACAGTATCTTAGCAACAAGTGTCCTGCCAAAAAGCATGATTCCCAGAAGGGTCTAAAGGGCAGATGAGCAGAATCATGTTACTACCTGCTAGGATTACTGAAAGCTCAAGATGCACAGAACTTGGCCTACCTCATGCAGGTGGCCTGGACTCAGCTTTCTAGAGTGCTGCGCTGCACCGGATGCCTGACAATTTTAAAGTGAAATCATGAGGTTGGAGGAAAGCACTCAGACTTGACTCCATTTTAGTTTTACCTGGCACTGATGGTCCTCTGGGACCCACCACCTCTTTGTCGCCGGCGAGTTCTCCTTGTTGGTGGCTGTCGGGTGATCTCTTGTGCAGCCTGTCGTTGAAACAGCTCCAACACCCTATGCAGCCTTTGCAGCCCATCTAGGCTAGGGGCAGCATGCAACTGGGGGTCAGACCCAGCAACAGGAGCTGTTTCATCAGCACCGGAGATCACAATAACTTCTTCGTCAGCAGGAGGAACCACAAAGCCTTCTGCCCCTTCCCTGGGCACTGGAGAGTGGGACAGCAGAGCACGATCAGAGGGGTCTGAAGGAAACGCCTCCTGAGACTCTACAGGATAAGCAACTGCTGGCTGAAGATCCACTTCCATTTCTTCCTGTGCCATTGCTGAGAGAGGCATGGAATGGAGAAAACAAACATGTAACATTAGTACAAACACTTGGAGTCCGCCTTTCAAGTAAGGCACAGACACACTTGACTCATGCCAGAATCAAGACACTGACGATGGCAAGATCCTTAAAAGACTGAGATCCAGGGCTTAGACCTTTCTCTGGCAGCTAAGCTGATCTGAGAATTCCAGTTTAACTGTCCTGGGATTTACGTATCAGTCAGCAGAAGCATTTTCACCTCCTCAACACTGGGAGTCTCAGACCCACCACAGCTTACGCTTTCTAACCTCAAGGGCACATTCCAATTTCCTCTGTAGAGGAATAGGATGGAATTCTCTTCTGTATAATATGACTTCATCTATATAATAGTGCTGATTCAATTTTAGAATAAAGGAATTCAGAGTGAAATTCAAAGAATATTTTAAATAAGACCCCTTAAGAGGGAAAAATATAAAACTTGTTAAATCAGTATGCCCTTTATGATGATTGTTATTTTCTTTAATGTTATTCAAACACTGACTTAGGAGGACTTTGAAACACTGAGTGTTGTAAATATTTTGAAGTCCTCTTAGTAAGAGGAAGTTACTAGCTTGATCAATAGAGTTAGTGTGTTAAAATACAAATTCCCTGGCTTTTGCTATACCCTGCAAAACATGACTAGATTAGACCACTGACCTAGAAATGAATCTAACCTTAAAGTTAAACCTACAGGACTGATGTGAAGTGCCTGTACAATGTAAACACAGAAGGCATGGCAGAGCTAACTCCATGTTGCTTCAAAAGTCACTAGCTATTATAAGTTTCTGTGATAAGTGACTCCATGTGAGAACAGGCACACAGAATACAGAGAAAATTCCTTAGATTTAGAGCCCTGCAAATCTGTGGATATCCACAGGGTTTTTTTGCAGATATGGGTATAAATACAAATTTTGCATCAATACCCCTTGCAAATTTGTGGATATGCGCTTTATATCCATAGGTATCTGCATCCACAGATGTGAATGCAGAGAGCCACGGTTCATTTTTGCAGATATGGCTCTATGGATACAAATTTTGTATCATGCAGGACTCTACCTAGATGTTCCACTGACCATGCTTTCAGAGCCATCTTTAGAAAGGGATAATGAAGCACCACACATGGATTGTTTGTGATCTGTCCATCGGTGCTACCAGCTAGCATGGACATTCTTCAACAAAGTTACTTAGGCACTTCAACTATTCCCCAACTTCCTGGCGGGATACAATAGCAAAGCTAGTCTCGACAAGCCCACCTTCCACTGGGGAGTACCTAAGGTCTGGGCGACGCAATTCCGCCCTGCTCTCCCTACCCTGTCCCTCCCCCTCCCCTGTCCCTGCAAAGGAACAAACCTGTGTGTGGACAAGCCCCGAACCGCAGGGCCGCAAGGCCGGACTGGCTGCTCTGGTCTCAGAGCCACGCAAGCCCGGCGGGGCTGGCCGGCCCGCCCCGCAGGCCCAGGGGCAGAGCTGGGGGCAAGGGGCAGCCAGCAGCAGGGCGGGGGGGCGCTG